AATTCACCTATTCAGTATTCGTATACCTCTATGACAACTTGTGGCAACACTCTAAATCGTTGCTACCAATCCACACTGTTCTGTTACCAACAACACAAGTAGGAAACCAGTTTCGAACTGTCTGCTGGGTTAGTTAATGCACACATCGATTCATCGGTGATCGGCGTTCATTGAACTCCTACTGCTACTTTGTGTCAGGCACAAATACATACATGCTATCTGTCAGACGGATTTCCTCGTTATTGGTCAAAGTGAAATGTTAGTCACGTGACGGGCACAAGTGTGGTGAACTGCAACGGCCGACGTTCAATCAGTCCTACTGCCAAAGTGAATACAGACCGATCTGGTCTGGACGAAATGAGGGATCTTGCCCGCGAAGAGGGGAACTAAATGTCACGTTTTTTCACACTTTGATTTATGGAGTCTGGGGAATCTGTACGCTTCCTAGTGCGACTTGATACTAACAAGTCTCACGAGATTTTGTAGATGAGGGACACATGAACCGTTGATGTGATGTGTAGGTACACTTTACTCAATGAAGACCACGGCTGGTCAGATACGCCTAGTTGTGTCTTGTACTTGAGGGTTACTGAAATTAGTAATGGTTTGCGGACGATCAAGTTGAGAACCAGGATGATCCTCGGATGAGGTAACTGAGCTAGTGTATTCAAGCAGACATGAGGCTGTTGAATCCGTGGGATCGAGTTCGAATAAGTGAAAAGACTGGTGCACGCACATTCAAAGCGAATACAAGACTGTCGGGATGGTAGACATTGGAAAATGTTACTTTTGGTTTGACCAAACCTCATATACATTGGTGGACAAAACGAGGCTGAAGGAAGAGAAATATTGTGAAGACTTGCGTATATCTTCCTCGACGGCAGACTCAAGACAACAAGGCTTTTCGGAATAAATGCAAGTGCTTACAGCAAAATAAATCATTCAGGGTCTACGTAGACAAGGAAAGGTTTTCCTGTGTTATCCGCTCTCCTAATTCTCTTCAGGCGCGTGCTCCGCCAGTAAGAGTTAGTTTGCCGGAAGGCGTGGGGCCGTCTTATAACAGCAATGAACCGAGTCCGTGAACGCCAAGTCATGTAGGAACATGTAATCTAAACTTCTTTTAGCTTCTCTTCAGACTGTCGTGGCAAACGAAACAGAATAATCATTTTTGAGACGGTAAGAGCAGAACCAATCAGCATCATTGTTGGACCGTACTTCTTGGACTTGTGAACAACGTTGGAACGATAGCTATCTCTAGTGAGCGGCAGCGAGGCACAGCAGGCTTCAAAAGAACCCCGATTTTCAACCAAATTGATTTTTTTTACAAAGAAAATCACACTATTTGAAGTGAGTAGGCGGGTGCGTTTATTCATGCTATCGCTGTGTTTCTACTTTGTCACGTACGCGCAGAGCACGCGTTTCACTGCGGCCAGATATAATTTGGTCAGTGTTTTGTTCATCACGAACTCGGTATTCGTAATCTATGAAAAAATCGTTTAATCGGAAAGTACTTAGCACACAGACGCTGATGTTGATATGGCCTTGTCCGGAAAATAATGCAAGTCCTCATCTGTTCGACAGGTCCCTCTGTTCACACTAACCTCTGTAGAGGACAATTTGAATGATGCCACTGAATCATTAAATCAATGAGTTAGGTAAGATTTCGAAGTCCAACTAAACTGCACCTGGTTAACTTCCTACACCAAACAAAGCTCGTGCACTTTTTTCTCCAACCGCAAGAGTGATGTTTCCCTTTCTTCCCTTGGATACAAAAGTAGAGGGTGGTCTTCTTCATCTGTTTCAATAAGACAGAAAGTTTCGTAAAGGGTGGGGTAGATGATAGGCCATCGAAAGGTTTTCAGCAACCCTATAAGTAGCGAGTTGTGTCAGTGTGACTAAGGTAAGGCCGCACGATCATGTGATCTGGACACTTCTAATATTGCGGCCTCATTGTCGGACATTTCTTGCCTTAGATAAGACATAATCCAAAGTTGGTGGCCAGCCAACAGGCAAGAAAATGTCACAAAGTCCCTCTGTTGTGTCGCGTGCTGAACGGTAGTGCAACTCTGTGTCGGTCCTTTGGCTTCCTGCACCGCCCACTACGGTATATCAAAAGGCACGGCAGCTCTACACATTTATGGAGACCAAGAAAAATTACTTCGACCGTATTTATAGGGTGGTCACAGGGTGTTCCACAAGATCGCGCCAGAATCTCCGTGAGGGGGCGAGAAGCGTCGAGTCAAAGGTGTTTGACTCGGATTGGCTGGCATTTTGACCAATCAGGGCATGCCTTCGTTTGACCCATGTCCTGAACGTGATACGTCTGTCCAAATAATGTGGCGTTCGGTTATTAGGGACGGCTGGTCTCCGTACACCTCCCTCAACCTGTGGTGGTTTTACCGATTAGCAGTAGTCGGACGTCTGCACGCAAATGAAGAAGGGTCGTCGGTTGTCATGGAGTTCAATACTGTACTGTGTAAATGTCCTCTGGGCGGATGTAACTTCAGGGAATACAGTTGGTGGACGTGCTGCTAGCCAGCAATTGACTTGAGGGACAGCACAGCTACTCGTCTGCGGTTGAGTTGTTGGCGGTATCAAGCAATTCTTGTCGGCTTCAATGTAATACCGTACGTCTCCCATTCCGAGGCTCCCGATTGCTCTCCAAATCTAAACTGCGTATATGATGATGAATAAACTCGCCGCACCGAGAACTAGACATATTGTTGCTGACATTGTCGTCCGCAGCTAGGGAAGCTGATGGAGTACACATACATGACGGTTCTTTCTTACTATCAGTTAGGCTTTGCTAAATATTCTCGCATCTGCCGTACGATCAACTCTATCTTGAAGTTCTCGGAGACTGATGATGCCATACGCCATCTTCGGAAACGAATGTCATTCGAACCTCTCCTAAAGATGCCCTCTGTGACAATGAATTCCTGTTTATGAGGTGAACTTTCACGACCTTTACAGGGAGGTGGCCTGTTTTGGGTCAGTTGTCGAGTTTGTCAACCATCACGTAATTCGAAGATGCTCTCGTCTGAGAGAAGAAATCTGTCAATATGCTTTGGTGAATACAAAGTAAACTCTCCAGGTACATTTGACAGTCCTTCTGACCTACCGCACTGACTGCCCATTTTGAAACGGTGTTTTTTTTTTAAAGAATTCGGTTTTCACAGCGGCTTGAGTTGTCAGCAGGCAAGATCACTTGCGTGTGATAGTCACTTGCGAACTTGCCATTATGTCAAGACATCTCGGATTATTGACTATTCACCAACGTGAATGAGTGCTCGTGGCCGAACGGTCAATTGTTCAAACTACTAGCCAGGAGGTCGCGGATTCCAGACTCTCTGGAATTTCACGAGATGCACATTGTTGATGATTCCCAACAGGGGTGAAACAGCTCTACAGTGCTTCTCGGCTTTTCAGTGCTGCCTGGCTTCACTTACAGGACGAAACCTTCAATAAGTAGTTTCGCAGCTCACAACACTGTCTCGAGTGATAAGGAACTGAGATAAGTCAATCTGTCTAACTACTGGTAGCTCGGGTGAAAGTATCGGTCAACGGACCATGTGTCGTCGCCAGCCAATTAGCAAAACAACTGTCACCTGATCAACAGCCAGATTAGAATAAGATTCGAATGACTAGGTTGTCCTCCTTTCTAGAGGTTCTTCGAAAGGCATTTGACCGGGTAATCGTCCCACCGTTCATTCATTCATTTAGCGCCATCACAGGAACAGTCGAATCGATGAACATAGCACACACCGACTTGGTGAGAACGCTAACCATGAGCTGTAAAGAGGACCGACGGTGGAAGGAATTGGCAACCAGTTTGTGTAGAAAAAATTGTCAAGAACCGCACTGTCCTACAAAAATTGCTTTTCCTAAACTTCATTCCTTAGTTTTGCCTGAGCATATCTTGAGCGAGATGTGTTCCCCGCTTGTTTCTCTGTAGATTTTGTTATGATAGGTATGGCAAAGTACGCCGATTGCGAAAAGATGTGTTGGAATTTTTCTGTGATGTCGTGCACTGCGACCAGGACCATAGCATGCTGTGGGATTTCAAGTAAGGAATTGCCTGTTTAAATGACAAGTCCCAGCAGACGGCCTAATCGGTCGACGTGACCAGACCATCCACTGGTCTGCCCTTTGGGGCTGTTGTGCAAGTCGGTCGGATGGTTCGAGTCAGGCATGGGAAACCAAGCGCGTCTAGCTTGCACTGGCAGAGTAATGCTCACTTCACATTAAAGTGTATCGAGTCCAAATACCTGCATGCCACTACCCATCTGATGCATTCTAAGTAATAGCCCAACCCGAGTTAAGTACTTCCCGGGCTTGATGTCGAACAACCAGGAGAGGAGGGACACAAAAGGGATGAGAATACAAGTTTTGAACGAACCAGAGCTGCAATCTGTTGGACAATCTGCATTCGTCATCTAAGGACCCATATACAATTTTTGTTGCGTTGAGTATAGCTCAGAGATGCTCAGCCATAACCCACACTATCGTCCCATTAGTCATTGGTGGAGTATCAGCAAGAAATCGATAATTTTTGACTGAACTTATTACCTCCAGTTTTGGTGTAAATCGAAAACTGCGGTGGAACGACATGTGACCTCTGATTGGTTTTGGTGAATAGTAGAGGCATCACATTCCGATAGGACACCTGAATGTCATTCACAAAAGCTGACGCTGATCTCTTGGGATTGTATGTCTGTATTCCACTGGTGAAATTGTGGATTACCGTTGGGTTTCGTCATCCATAAACAGATGTGATCCTAGACAAAAGTGATCCTATTTATTTGGTTCAAAGACTGAAGAAAATAGGACCTTAATTGGGGCACTGAACTTTTTACGTGATAGTAAACACCTCGTTTTCCAACAAATGTCGTATCAACCATCCGGACCCACTTTTTCGTAGTTGGGCACCTTCTCGCTCCACCCACTGTCACATCTCCTCGCCTTCAACAGGACAAGAACTCTCACTTACAAGACGCACCATGTCTACCCTGACGCAGCAACGCAAGCTTGTGGAACAACTACGCCAAGAAGCCAACTTGAATCGACGTCCTGTGTCCGAGTGCGTGCGGGACATGATCGCCTACATGGAACAGAATCGAGAGAAGGACTGCCTGGTCAGTGGGTTCGCCAGCAAAAAGGATAACCCATTCCAAGAGAAAGGCGGTTGTCTCATGCTGTAGGAAGTCTCAGATCATGATATATCTCTTTGTGCTTTGATGCGCTGTGTTGTATCGAAATCTATACCTTCTTGTTCAGTGTAGCATTTTCTTGCTCGCCCTTGTTTATGCAATTGTAGCTGTTTTTTGTTGGTTTTTTGGAGCGCGGACGGGCATCATCCACCTGCATTTTATCATGGAGAAAAAAGAGTGAACAACTGATCATTTGTTTATTTTGTTTGACTTGTCTATGAAGTGATGACCTTGACAATCTCCGGCACCGCTATGTTTATTTTTCTTTAGGGTCACCTCACTGTCAAACGACGATTGGTTGAAGTATACATGCGTTGAAGAAGCACGTGATTGACTCAATAATATATTTCGCTGCTCGCATTTCTTCGATTGATATGTTACTGTAAATCGCACCAGTCTAACAGATTATTGACAAAATTGTGACACCGACTGGCGTGTTGTGGGCATCGCAGGGTATTTTGAACCCAAAGGCAGTCTGAGTTGAATATTCGGTTGGTGAACTTTTTGGTTTAATCTTGTGATAACGGTTAGCCGAATGCGAATCAATAGTCTTATGAGCGTTAGAACACACTGAGTAATCCACGAGGCGGTCGCTAGAGACGGGTAAAGAATATACTTCAAACGGTGCAAACATTCAGGCATATTGGGTCCCATAGCCGAATGTCCATTGCTTCACGAACGAAGTTTACCAGGCGTGGGGTGAATTAGCTAGTGACGCAGTCATATCACACATGTTTCCGACAGGTGACCTGACGGTTACGTCACTATGTTGGAAGCGCACTGTTAGCCACCAGGTTGCGTGCAACACCCATGCTCAGCCGACAGCTGGTCTGAGGCCCAAACATCCCTCTGAACAAGGGGTGCCCAGCAGTTAGTCCCCTTCTGCGTAGACTGTTATCCTCAGTCCACCTGTTGAGTCAATCACCGCACTCAAACCCGATATACAAAGCAGCGCTTTTCTGCCAGTCCGATGCGAATCAAAATTACAATGCATAGCATAGCATGCACCGATGTTTCGCTGCCATACCTACCTACCGGCACCATACCTTCACTTTGCTTTTGTGCTTTCCGATTGTTCTGGTTAGGCAGCTGCAGGTGATACATGCTGACCCCCTAGATTACGAATATCGTACTAACTGAAACATGAGGTGGCCTGGTGCACCATCTTCAGTTGCTTAGAAACATCATAAACGAGAGATTCAGTTGAGTCTCTCGTGAAAACCAAATTGATTTGCAACTGAGTGTATTTCTCAAAAACAGTCCAATTTGGTTTCAAGTAGAACATAAGGTTGACGGCAACTCGGGGACTGCGCCTACCTGATGAGCTCCAAGAAGGAAGAATTTTCAGCAACCTTATGAGTAGTGCATTACGCAGATACATGGATCGCGATATCTCGAATATCGTAGCGACTGAAACATCAGGCGGGCTGGGGCTGGAATCATCACAAACGAGAGATTCAGCTGGGTTCCAGTTGAATCTCCCGCAAAACCAAATTGTTTTTCAAATGAGTGTATTTCGATAATTTAGGTTCAAGTAAAAACCAAGGTTGACGGCAACTTGAGGACTGCGCTTACCTGATGAGCCCCGGAAAGGGTGAAACCCGTCGTGGGCTGCAACCTTATGAGTAGTGTATTACGCCTATAAAAGTAGTAGCTCATAGGCACTAACCTAGGTTTTTGCGTGAAGTATGAAACACCTGGATTATGAAACCTGGAGAAGGAAGTCTCGGGACATTAAGTTTAGCAAACGATTACATCGATTATAGAATTTCTCGTAGTAGTGCCCGAAAATAAACTTTTTTCTCAGCCAGTTGTCCTTTACTGACATGCTGGAGAGTGATCAAAAGTAACATGTCCAAGTCATGGGTTTACACTTATCATCTGCCATTCACGGATGAATCGCCGCGTACAATGCCTCCTGAATGACGTTGTTGTAGGCGATGCTTTTGAATAGCCAGCCACGTCTTGATGTTTCAGTGATAATGATGTTGTCTGTCTCAAAATAATACATACTACTAATAAGGAATTATACATTCCTTGTCCCTGCTGTTTGATCCCTTGATCCTACTTGGCTCCCAGCCACGAATCTATCATGAGATACTGTGCGAACCGGTTCGTTCGTAGGTTGCGCGGACAGTCCCGAATCGCTGAACAAAGGAATTCATCATCAACGTCGTCAAAAACTTAACATTGGTGTTCCACACTGACGTTTCGCTGTTGTATTTGGAAGTTTTATTGTGAAGAAAATAGTAAGAGTGGAGAGTGAAGAGATTTGGTGCTAGCCCACCACAACTATTCCGGGGTGCATAAACCTCCATCCAATCTGGATGGAAACTGACAACAATATTCAACGACTATAAGGATTTTTCGACGGTTGCACCTCGACAGGCGCTTACAGGCTTGTTTTCACTATAGAAGTTACCAGCGGGTGACCTTCATACAAAGATATACAAGACTAACGGTTGCTTTTAACCTTGCCGATCACCAGAATCCATAGCGATCTCGGACAAATATGTTCGGGCGGAATTCTTGTTTTCTCTTACAAGAGTGTTGTGCACTCTTTTGGACTCACACAAGGCTACTGTAAGTCGCCGCCGGAGTTCATCGTATATGGTGGTCCTGGACGGGGATGCCCTGTCATCATAACTTTTCATTTATGCCATCGGTCGTTGGCTTGTTCGCTGCTCAGCCACCAACCCACCGCTACGCACCACCACGCTCATCAGTAACGCACTGATGATGTCACCTCGATTGGTGATGAAACGTTTGCAATCAAATTGACCAGCTCAGCGAACAAGCCAATGACCACCATCTACACTACCTGAGCTCCCGACATTTTCCTCTATAGAAAATTTATGCCATTGATATGCCACCTGAAACCTTCGTGTTTTTCCCTTGCACGCAGCAGGTTAGAAAGTTCACTGAGCGTTTTCTCGCAGGTACTGAGTATGTGGAGACTATCCCCCCCTTAGATCGATTCCTTTAGAGGTTCAAGTTTCCGTCCACTAATAGAGTCTCTGTTGGCCTCCTACTAGCGTCTCAGTGAAGTTTCACAAACGCCACAGTAAAATTCTATCAGGGCGCTGTAAGACTCTTGAGCACAGCTTCGTAATACTTCCTCGAAACGTTCGAGTCGACGCTTGGAGGCGATCTGACTGCCATCAGTCACAAAGCTTTCGTCGCGAATCCTTTCTAGATAGAGACGATAATCTCACATTGAAGTTGGCTTCGCTGTGAGCAAGTTCTAAATACGACACGGTCGGTTATACCTTTTTAGACAAAACAGTTATTAGGAAAAATCCTTTTATTACATCACGTCTCAAAATACTGACATGTAAAGCACAATTGGGCAATGGATATCTGCTGAACGATGAGATAGAGAAGGCGAGAATTAAACTATAACATGAGCTCCCGTTCCTCTATAGAAAATTTATGCCATTGATATGCCACCTGAAACCTTCGTGTTTTTCCCTTGCACGCAGCAGGTTAGAAAGTTCACTGAGCGTTTTCTCGCAGGTACTGAGTATGTGGAGACTATCCCCCCCTTAGATCGATTCCTTTAGAGGTTCAAGTTTCCGTCCACTAATAGAGTCTCTGTTGGCCTCCTACTAGCGTCTCAGTGAAGTTTCACAAACGCCACAGTAAAATTCTATCAGGGCGCTGTAAGACTCTTGAGCACAGCTTCGTAATACTTCCTCGAAACGTTCGAGTCGACGCTTGGAGGCGATCTGACTGCCATCAGTCACAAAGCTTTCGTCGCGAATCCTTTCTAGATAGAGACGATAATCTCACATTGAAGTTGGCTTCGCTGTGAGCAAGTTCTAAATACGACACGGTCGGTTATACCTTTTTAGACAAAACAGTTATTAGGAAAAATCCTTTTATTACATCACGTCTCAAAATACTGACATGTAAAGCACAATTGGGCAATGGATATCTGCTGAACGATGAGATAGAGAAGGCGAGAATTAAACTATAACAGATAAAGGGTTTTAATAGATCTGAATAGCTGATCTGCAAGTAAGCACAATTCAACTGACAACAGTATACTCAAGCATAGAGATAAACCTCTGTCTAGGTAAACGGATCAATGAACGGATTATACGGGACGTGAACGTGAAGTGGTCTTGGGTACTGGTCGTGATCGGATTCTCCTTTGGACGCCGAAAGCAAACGCCTGACGCTTGGCTTGACCACGTCGATTCACCACCGCGAAAGTAGGGTACTTAACCGAAGCGATGGCCTGATCATAGTTGACGGGTATGGGAGCCCAGGCCTGTGGGTAGCTTATAGTTCCACCGAGTAGCGGCGGCGTGGCCTGTTTTCGGAATTTAGCCTGTAAAAGACGGTACTATAATATAAGGTATGCTTCAGCAGTAAGAACATCTTCATCTGATCGGTAGTGACAGTTGAATTTGTGCGTACTGGCTTGATACCATAAAGAGAAGTTGGAGTGTATTCAGACCATATGAATGCCTGGTTGCTGTAAGTATTTTTTTCGAAGGTACGAGACGTTTCAAGTATGCAGACTTTTGGAACTACAGAACATTAACTTTGGGGCTAAAAAACAGGCTGCTTGATCATTCAGCCCCCCCCCCCAATGGAGGTTTGCTACATTAAACCAACTGAGACAACAGTTGACTGGAAGACGAACTTTGTGAGAGCACTGCCAAGGGAACTGCTGTGAGTCCTTTAGGTGGATTGCGTGTATTTTAGGTGAAAATGGCTACCAAAAAATGAGATTAAAAAGAGGAGAGGACTCAACAAATCAACTTTTTCCTTTAGCAGCAAGATAGTTTACCATCCCTCCAAAGAAAACCAAACACCAGAGTGATCAAGCTATCCTTTTACCATCATAGTCTCACGTTAGAACACTGAAATATTGATCCAATTCGGAGTTCGATCCTCTTCAACGTCTTCCCTCCAAGTGAAGTAACTTTATACACCAGCTTCTTAGTAAATCCATTACAAACTTAAGGGTGGAGATTTCAGGAGCCCAACTGGCAGATCCACATTTTGGTGATCACAATATGCCATAAACTACTGTAGCAATCGATGCGTCTGTTTTCACAACCATTCCACAGTCAGTCAAACTTGTTGCCCTGTCAAGTCACCTGCGATGGTCACACCCCAACTTCCATATATCATGGCGCAGTCATCAGAGGTTCACTTGATCGTCGAAACTGCGCCTCTGGCAGTTTGTTCATTTCAACACAACCCAACCCAGCAGAACCCATACCGTGCCAGCCGCTTGGCTCCATACCTTTATCTGATGGTAGCTGTTTCGACTCGTGATCAGTTTCGTTCAGTGGCATCAGTTTCTAACGCAATACTCCCGCGAGCGACCATTCAGTCGACAGCCGATCGTCAGTGCAATCCCTGAGGTCATAGCCACTTGAAACACAACATGCAGAGACTCAACCGAATCTCTCGTTTATGATATTCTACAACTGAATGTGCTGCACACAGGCCGCCTCATGTTTCAGTTGGCACGATATTTGAGATATCGCAGTATATTTTCATTCAGTTGCAGAACATCATAAACGAAAGATTCATTTGAGTCTCTTATGAAAACCAAATTGATTTGCAAATGAGTGTATTTCTCGAAAGCATTCCAATTCGGGTTCACGTATAACATAAGGTTCACGAAAACTCGGGGACTGCGCCTACGTGGTGGGCCCCGAGAAAGGCAAAACCGGTGGTGGGCTGTCGAAGAGTTCTCAGCAACCTTGTAAGTAGTTTCCTTTATCAGTCAGTTAGCTTCATCAATAACTCAATTCTCAATAACTCATGTACTTGTTCGTAATACCAATCGTGAATGATTACCGGTCGACATTTGTCCCCTTATATGGACTTTTTTTCACAGAAATCCTCGTCAGTGCAATGTCTGAGGTCATAACCGTTTGAAATAAAACATGCGAATATTTGGCAGGCGATGGTTTACGCCTCTCGGGTTGACTACTGATATTGTTCTTGAGCAAAACGACTTTGGTGGGAATTACGCTGACCAACAGGTGCATCGTTCAGAAATGTATAGTGGCCAGTTCATTCGTCAAAACCAAGAGTTCCAGCCGAACGGATCTGGGGGCTGTAAGCTATACGCACATTAACCTCCAAAGAAGGTGATCTATTTAGGCTGTTTCTGAGGTGGTCTGTTCTCGAAGGGATCACACATTTGTTCTTGGCTGACGGGAGCACCGTTGTGGACTATCCGGATGACTGGCTTATATTTTACCATTGTTTTGTGAAGGAGTTCCCTGTAACGGAGCTGATCTTAGTAACGCTAATACTAATAATGGTAGCAACAGCACGAAGACGACGTCGTCCTCATCTCCAAAGACGAAGGCCAAGTGCAAGCCCTTCTGAATAAACTAACCACCATAACGCAGCACAACTCGAAAACGGGCCAGTAAGACTACAGAAGAAGTACACATCAATTGGCCAATCATGCAAAAGAATAACAATTACTCTTCAAAAACTATATAAACACAGACAGAGACCACCATAACACAGTACAACCCGCAAACGGGCCAGTAAGACTACAGGAGAAGTACACATCAATTAGCCAATCATGCAAAAGAATAACAACTACTCTTCAAAAACTATATAAACACAGACAAGAGCGTGCTGACGACGTTTCCTTGACTGGAAACAGCACGTTTACTGGCCAATTGCCAAGTTGGGCGGACAAATGAACGATTAGCTGATCACTCACCAGTAAACGCACCCGCACTAAAAATATTTCGACTAACTGACAAGTAGGAATTTCAGTGGATATCGGCAGAAAATAGTTCGAGGGTGCGCGGATGCCTTTGACAGGAAGTGAAGCATCCAGTTATGAGATATTCTGGTTTAGTTAAGAGATATTTTGGGACAAAATTTCAATGGTTCCGTCCAATAGGTTGCAATCATCTGGCAGACATTCGGCTATGTAAGATAAGGAAAAGTGGTATGAAGAGTGGATATCGACTCACTTTTGAACGTGAAACTGATCGTTTAGAGCGAGTACGGCCTCTGTTGTTGGGATAGCGATTGTATTTTCCTCTTTTCTGCCCTGGATTTCCTTCCTTAGCGTTCTGAGTACCGCTGGTAGATGGGCCGGCAGCGTTAGATTTCTTATGATCCCCTTCTTCTTTTTGTTCTGAAACATTCGCGTGCGATGAGCAACCATCTTCCTTTCGGACATCTTTGGGAGAAGAACTGAGTATATCAGTCGAGCAGGTTTTGGAATTCTGGGAAGGCTTTTTTGCTGGAGTACTGAGATTCCGATCTTCCACAACAGGAGAGTTGGCATCATCGGTTTGAGGATTAGTACACAAGAGTTCAACAACCTTTGAGGGGTTTCCATTTTTGGGCACATCGCCGTCATCCGATCGATTGCGTTCCTGAGTTTCTGATGTGCCGCGATGCGCCTGGGTCGAAGAACCTTCTCCCGACCATTCAGACTGGAACAACCATGGTGGAATATCGTTTTCTGCCATACCCTGTTCTGGGATGATTCCGAGTTCCCGAACTTGGTCAGCGCGGATCAAAACCAAACCGGAGGTGGTTAGTACCGGCCCGTGTCGTATTGTTGGGCTAGGATCGGTAGAATCCCGCTCCCGCGAGCTCGTGGGTAGCTCGTACCTATGAATCGGAAACAAGCAATCCAGATTAGAAATTGTTTCGTCCGCTTAATGCAAACAAACACAGTCTTTTATACATTATTATTCGAGACGAATGCAATTACGTCGGGTGCAGACAGATGTATCTTCCGAGTTCAGAGCTAACAAATTTAGGGAATAAGGTCATTTGGTGCCTTGAAAATTCAGCCAAATACAGCTGGTGTGCTAATTTAAAATGCTGATATGGAGTGTGGTGAAAATGCTCATTCAGCTGTGAACCTTGTATGGATGTACGTTGGCTCAATTGTTCAACCTCAGAACGTCGATGCTGCGAGATGAGGAGAGGATGAAAAAGCAGAGCTGGGCCGTTGAATACACTAGCCCCATGAAAGACAGCCGTTATTTGGGTAACTCTCTGGTGTCCCGACATCGCCTGAAGCCGATTTTTAACCATCGAGCCACCCTTCGTCTGTTTCAGTCACAGCAGACTTTAGGTGGTTGTGGTGCTGATGGGGAACTGGTAACTTAAAGTGTGAACAACAACCGGAAGGACCTAGCTGTTTACGACCATCAAGTAGGCAAGCACTTTGTTTGCTGGCCTTGTCGGTGCACTGCATCACTGTTAATTTGGTCTTGGCATGAAAAACGTGCAATGCCTCAAAGGCAGCTGGGCAAGATGGCCCAATTGGTTAGAGCGTAAATTCACTGATCGGAAGGTTCGTGGTTCGAACCCGACCTCTGCCCCTCAACTTCCCTTGTCTAGGCTTGGACAACCTGGCAATATCCCATCCCTCGTGCTTCCTTCTGGTGGCATGTCAGCTAGACACCGGAAGGGTGCTAGAGCTGAACCCACCAGCTGATATTTTATCCGGTTTTCGTAGTTCGATTTGACTCACCTCTGTTCCGACACGAGACTGTCTTCTGTGGTGATCCTCTGCGACATTAGATTCAGACCCCGAAATCTAGACCCAGCTTGCTGCGTTTTAGGTTGGGTCAGCACCATGATATCTGCTGGTTTCAAGCTGGCCAGGATATGCAACTGCACGCGTTTTGGGTTGAAACTGACAACACGCTGCAACAGAAATGCCGAATGATCATCGAGTATGCCAACCAGTTGCCCGAGGTGAACCAGCGTCCCTTGTCCTTGCGTAACCAGGCGAATCCATGGTCCATTTGAATTGGTTGGTGGTAACGTTGGAAATCTTGGAGCGATGTTGCGGGCACTCACCGTTGATTTAGTTGCATTCTCGAAATCAGGAGCCAGAATTTTCTTTTCCACAGTTGTCGGGCTAGTGATCATTTGAATTGATGAGCCGGGTGACAGAGGCTCACACCGAGGCGATCTGGCACCCGGTAATTTGAGTGCAATCAGGGTGGCGACAATCTTGAGCAGTTCCTTAGAAAGGTCACTGGCAAGGGATGTCGTGACATCGTCAGCAGAATGAGAATTAGGGGATCGGGGGGTATTTTGCGTTACATTGGAACTGAACTCTCCGGTAGAGCTGCATCCGATTGGGCTTATATTCTGTTTTTCCCAAAAAAGAAATAATATGGATCTTGTCATAGCGCTTACTAGTCCACACAATTAGTTGCCAATCATGTAAAGCTGAAGGGTTATGAATGTTACGCTCAGGATTACGGCGTATTTCACGCTTGCATGACGTTCAGATCACTTTCCAAACGCCCTATTTTACGATACGAACAATACAGAATTTTCCAAGTTCCGATATGTTAGTTCACTCGATAAAAATGAACATGATGTCGTGAAGAAATCGCACTGTTTAACCTGTCATATCTGCTGTAACAGAGATCCAGGATTCTAGTCCTAAGAGCAAACGTCTACAGGGATAGTAAGATTACTTGCCACTACAGGCACCCTTCACTGTTTCTTCACTCCTATCAGAAGCAGTCAGAACTTGTGGTTCACTAAGTAGCTCATTTACTCCCCTTGGAGACAAAGATGCACTCTTTTAGTACTATGCATAAGGTCGCTGAGAACCTTGGACAGCCTACTACCACTTTTCCCCCTTCCAGGACCACCACCAGGCTTACCAGCCAATGCAACCTTGCTGCGGAACGTCTCGTGATTAGATAGAGGGCTACAGTAAGACATGTCAAAAATTCAAAAGACGCAAATCGAAGCCATTATCGACTTTGGCTTGTTCGTTTAGTCATGTAGGCCAGAACAGACTCCAGACAGCTGTAACATGAGACAAACACGCAAGATTTATAGCTCACAATACCTGTGTAGCGCAGATATTACTTCAACAGCCTGACACTTAAATAAGAGTGCTTCTCGTATACAACGATGACACGGCTTAGGGGTTTCGCAACGCATAGTTTAACGGTGTCGATGAAAAATCTTATTAAAAATGCGTATGACACAAGAATCACGGGTATTCAAAAGTTGTGAAATCTAGCAAATTGTCCCTTGCACGGAAGACATCTTGAGCGATCAATTTTTCCTGAAGTGGCTTACAGTTTACCAGAGAATACTCTAATTTTCTCGTAGGTGTTGGCACATTTAAATATTCTGAACAAGTTTTATCCTACAAGTGACGTAAGTCTATGTTGTTTACCTTGTCTGTGTCGGCTCACACCTTCTGAGATTCGTAAGCTGCGCACTGTTGACTATTCTAAACAAGGAATAAACAGATCCATAGTGCTCCCGGTCGTTTCAGTTTGAACATCTCAAGATGGCCTCATACTATCAATAATTTGCAAGTATTTCAGAGGAGGAATAATTCACACGACCCTTGAACCTTCACTCGAGGAGCCGGTCAAGAAGTGTTTTGGATTCCGCGATTGAAAAATGGGTGACACTATATCACGTTTAAGTGTGAGGCAACCATATTGTTGATCGGCCACTCGGTTAGCTGTTCAGATTACTAGCCGGGAGGTCACGGGTTCGAAGCTCGCTAAAATTTCGTGAGATGTTCACAACCCATGATTCTCAATAAGGATAAAACAGCTGCGCATTGCCTCCCAGTTTTTCAGCATATACTGGCTTCACTTGGGGGGTTAAATCTCCATTGAAAAACCTGCATACTGTCAGTTGTGGAATTCCATCTTGCAGAAATACTAATCATTATGGTCATGGTGTTGAATGAAAAAAATCGTCTAACTGTAAAGCCCTTTTCGTGCCTAGTTGTCATGTCACCCAAAAGAAACACGAGGGTTGGGAGGCTGCCAAGTTGCTCAAGCCTAGACAAAGGAAGTCGAAGCACGAACCTTCCGGTCAATAAATTCGCGCTCTAACCACTGAACCAGCTCGCACCTGAGCCATATTGCCCCGAACCAGCTTTGAAACTAAGTAATGCTACTACCTGAAGGCAACTGGACAAGCAATCCATTGACTTTTCCAATGAGTTTCACAATTTAAACTTTCATTAGACTCACCTTCAACCTATAGTGGCGGCTAAAGCCCTGAATTGAGACCAAGTGCCATTTCCTAAAACATCTAATGTACAGTTTGACTGCATCTCAGGTCCTCTGAGACAGAGTGCGAAATTCCGATGCCTAAATTGAAAATTTAGTCACTAAACCTGCTAAAATAACGCATACTTGTGTCTGAGTATGTGAAGCCGGTTTCAAATAATTACGCAACGAAGTGATCAATTCTACATCGGCGACAAAGCCGCGCGACAGGCAGCACTTAGCGGGACACTAATGACAGAATTCTATCTACAAGGTAAGCACACCCATCCGACGTACATAAGCATGAATTTCAACAGATGGTGGTGAATTCATCTCCGGAAGCCCGAGGAGCCATGTTTCCAATGGCGACACTTGTCGGTAAGCAATACCTCACCATGGTCCAAATGCCTCGGGACCTATATTTTACACCACCGAACTGACAAGCAAACTGTACTCTGAGTTGTAAAAACATTCAAGGATCGCATGTTACCTTTAGGAGTTTCCTTAACGCTTCAAAGATCAATTGTTCTGCGCTAACCAAAGACTGCGTGACAAGGAAGTATTCATTTGTCATGAGGCGCTTCGGTACGCGTATTCTATTAGTCCTAATTTTAGTGTTAAATGACGGTTGAATGAACGTCACGAAGCAGTGGATAAATGAATGAATGAATGAATGAATGGATGAATGAATGAATGAATGAATGAATGAATGTATTATTGAACGAGCGGATGAATACATGAATAGCGCTACTTTCCTCAGCGGAGGTTAGGTTACTTTTTGTGTCCCCAGACGCGGTAGATAACATCCATACAAAAGACCACAAACTAATTGGGGGGTGGTACAGCCCGTAGGCAAGACTGCCAGTTCTACGTATAACAATGAAAGCAAGTCAAGAAGCATATTGAAGCTGGCATAGTAAAAAAACGATACTTACGGGGATTGGCGGTGCTGTTTCATCTAATTCAATGACAGTTTTCTCAGACATGGCTAGATTTGATCACCAGTTCTCGGAACGCAACAAGTAGGCAAGTGAGTGATGTGAAATGCTTTCTGACCGACCGCTCAGAGGTCACAACAAACCGGTCACGAGGTATTGATCTGAACATCGTTCAACTAACTGCAGCTATTCGATTTCAACCAACGAAGTCTGGCATATTCGATCCACCGCATGGGTTAATATCGATTGTGGTCAGTCAGTATGAACATTTGATGGAAAGGGAGACAAGGAAACTGAAGTCAGTAAAACAGTATGCTAAAAATGGCAGCTAGACTGAAACAGCTGCCATCGAGATTCATTTTGATAACGAGGGATTTTTAAAGTGGTTTACATGTCATTCAGAATCACAGAAAGTTCGATTTAATCGGTAGTCCTAAATCTCGGACGAGTAGTGAGCGAACATCACAAGCTAAAAGCTGTCCAAATAGAATATCCGAAAACGTGTAACTCAGAAAGAGTTGAAGTTCAAATAATTCCTATATCTGTCATTAAAGTGTAAGCCATTGACATTCTAGAGAAGTACACCCATTTGCAGACAAACTTGGTTTCTGTGAGAGACCCATCTGGAACCCGACTGAATCTATCGTTTAAAAAAAAAACAAAATCTGTTTGCAAATGAGTGTATTTCGCTAAGTTCGTGCAATTTGGGTTCAAGTAGAACGTGAGTTTGATGAAAACTTGGGGACTGCGCCTACCTGAGGAGTCTCAAGAAGGGCGAATATGGTCATGGGCAATCAGCAACCTTATGAGTAGTATGGTGCGTTTACTTACATTCTATTCTCTGTTTAATGAAGGAAACATTGTGGAATTCGGTGACGTAGCGCATTGAATACACCCAGATTTTTGTCGAATGAGCCAGAATATATCAAAACGAAGAACCTAGCATTGTTGAGTCTGGAGATCACAGGTAACGCCACCGTTTCTCCCCGCACTGTATTTCAAGTGCGGTGACCTCATGATTATTAACTGTTCAGTGATAATTGAAGAGTGGAGCATCATTACACTTCCGGTGATAAGGCGAAATCGTTTTTCCAATTAGAATCCTTGTGCATTTGGAACTTTCACTCAGTGTCTGAGTGTTCAGCCTCCTTGCATAACAATCTGTTGTTGAGGCAGATTCACTGATGGGACCCAGAGAGCTCAGGCTTGCCACGATAGACCCAGTTGCATTTTATAGACGGAAAAATACGCTCAGTGTCACAGTGCGGAAAATTTCTGGGCCTGTTTGGTGGACGGGCATCCGGGTCCATCGAACTACGCCGACGGTCACCCGCACGCGTTGGATAATGCCAAACGGGAGTCACGCTGAGCCGAATGTGCATCCACTCGAAGGCCATGTGTCCGACGTAAATCCGATTAAATAAGACCGCAGGTGAACAGAAGAAGGGGTGGTGCGATATTCGTGAGAAATTTCTGAGCTGCCGTTTCACTGTGCTGCTTCGAACACTTCAGTTGTCAGTTGAGCGATATAATGCGTGCGTTTGAACATGTCTGCTCATGAGTTACATACATCCAGGGGTTGTTTGATGCATCAGAGATCTTTGCGGAAACTTAGAGCTTTATCCTATGGTCATGGGCAATCAGCAACCTTATGAGTAGTATGGTACGTTTACTTACATTCTATTCTCTGTTTAATGAAGGAAACATTGTGGAATTCGGTGACGTAGCGCATTGAATACACCCAGATTTTTGTCGAATGAGCCAGAATATATCAAAACGAAGAACCTAGCATTGTTGAGTCTGGAGATCACAGGTAACGCCACCGTTTCTCCCCGCACTGTATTTCAAGTGCGGTGACCTCATGATTATTAACTGTTCAGTGATAATTGAAGAGTGGAGCATCATTACACTTCCGGTGATAAGGCGAAATCGTTTTTCCAATTAGAATCCTTGTGCATTTGGAACTTTCACTCAGTGTCTGAGTGTTCAGCCTCCTTGCATAACAATCTGTTGTTGAGGCAGATTCACTGATGGGACCCAGAGAGCTCAGGCTTGCCACGATAGACCCAGTTGCATTTTATAGACGGAAAAATACGCTCAGTGTCACAGTGCGGAAAATTTCTGGGCCTGTTTGGTGGACGGGCATCCGGGTCCATCGAACTACGCCGACGGTCACCCGCACGCGTTGGATAATGCCAAACGGGAGTCACGCTGAGCCGAATGTGCATCCACTCGAAGGCCATGTGTCCGACGTAAATCCGATTAAATAAGACCGCAGGTGAACAGAAGAAGGGGTGGTGCGATATTCGTGAGAAATTTCTGAGCTGCCGTTTCACTGTGCTGCTTCGAACACTTCAGTTGTCAGTTGAGCGATATAATGCGTGCGTTTGAACATGTCTGCTCATGAGTTACATACATCCAGGGGTTGTTTGATGCATCAGAGATCTTTGCGGAAACTTAGAGCTTTATCCCCTCCATAAGTCAATTTCATGTTACAGTGCAATTCAACTGTATCTAAGCTGAGTACGTCTGCACTTTGTTTAAGAATACCGAGTGCCGTTGCAGCCGAAATGTGAGGCCATCTTGGTGCAGGTAGCCAAATCCACTTAGACTCGTACACAACAATTGTGTGTGCGTGTTGATGTCTGGTGACTGTTCCACACGGATCTCTGTTCCTCACCCTCTAAGCACGACCGGTTGTCACTCCTTTGTGTTCACACGTTGCATGCGATGCCAGCCAAGTGCCCCTCTGTTTGATTACCTTCTCTGAACGGCACTACACTTTCTCATTTATGTCTATCCGCGTCATGTACATCCTCATATGGCCTTCTATCTCGCATAGGTCCCTGTAACCTTTCCAACCCCTGTATTCTGGATCCTAGCGTTTGGTTCGTGTAGGCTGGAATCGACTCAAATCTATTTTATTTGGACATTGTTCATTCAGGGAGCTCCTGCCCGATTCAGTTTCCATTCTGCTCCAGACGGCTGGTAGGTTTAGAATACTAGTCAGTCAGAGAGTTCAGCACCACGATACCCCATGAAGCTGTGCAGTCATTCGAAGCCCGTTATAATTGTGAGATTGAGATGAGATAGGGTGAGTTTCCTGTTTACATCAACCTAACTTGCAAGTGAATTTGCAACTCTAAGCAAGCATAATTTCGTGTTCATGTAGGGGGTGGGATTGATCGTTATTCACGGACTACGCCTAGCTGATGAGCTTCGAGCAAGGTGAAGCAGGTAGTGGACTATCCAGAAGTTTTTATCAACCTTATAAGTAGTATCATCTTTTATTTACACAGGTGGACAAAGATCCTATTTTGGAGTACTACGGTCTTTTTGTATCCCGGAGGTAACGAACGAAACTCACCGTATATGGCTGTTGGATTGGACGTTGTATACCCTGTTTTTTCATCTTAGTTGGCCTTTTCAGAAATCATAAAACCACACAGCATGCTGGGCCTTGCTTCACCGACTGGAGCGTAACCTCAATGAATTCGCTCCTTACATATGGGTGGAGAACATTCTGTTCGAATTACACATCATGCAGTGTTCTATGTTGGTCCCAAATTGTCTCTGCTGTTCACAAACAACTCGCCCGGAAATCATCAGTCCTGCTGCTTTTGACAGCGGATGCGGCGCCAAAACGTGGAAAATCGAGAGGCTGTCCACTTTGTGGAAGACGATTCTGTCTCCGGGTGGAACGAACGAACTCACCGTATATGGCTGTTGGATTGGACGTTGTATACCCTGTTTTTTCATCTTAGTTGGCCTTTTCAGAAATCATAAAACCACACAGCATGCTGGGCCTTGCTTCACCGACTGGAGCGTAACCTCAATGAATTCGCTCCTTACATATGGGTGGAGAACATTCTGTTCGAATTACACATCATGCAGTGTTCTATGTTGGTCCCAAATTGTCTCTGCTGTTCACAAACAACTCGCCCGGAAATCATCAGTCCTGCTGCTTTTGACAGCGGATGCGGCGCCAAAACGTGGAAAATCGAGAGGCTGTCCACTTTGTGGAAGACGATTCTGTCTCCGGGTGGCACTCCAAGGCAGAATTGCTTACATTCAGTTTGGAAATATGTAATGTGTCTTACATGCGCAAGCAACAACCTTTAGGCACACCTACGATCAACATATACTACTGAGCAGTCGTCATCATCATCATCAATCATCATCGTCATCATCAGCATCGTCATCATCTTCATCGTCATCATCATCATCATTGACAGCATGACATCAGTGTTCAACACCGATCCTCCACTACCGTACAGCCATGACTTATTTGGAAGTCTTAGTGTAAAGAAAAGAGTAAAGGGGGATGGGGGAGGGACTTCACTCAGGCGACTAAAGTTTCTTTATAAGGGATGTTCTGGGTTGACAATGTTATGGAATATAGGTAGTTCGGGTGCGCTGTTTGATTGTTGGTTTGTTCGCTGAGTTGGGCAATTTGATTGCCAACGTTTCATCCCCAATCGAGGTGACATCATCAGTGCGGGGTTGAGTGAGACGGGGGGTTGTTGTGTCAACTGTCTCAGAGCAACAGTTTAGTTTTTTTGTTAAAAAATCCTCTGATCATTTTTACGAACCGATGGCTTGTTGAACTGGACGCACCTGGCTGAGGTCATCCGTGGGATGTTTACGGTGGGAATACTAACGAAAATTGGAACAGCGAAAGCTTAGAACAACTAAGACTGCTGGTGATACGTTGGACCCGAATAGGAGGTAGATGATGTAAAAGCCAGGAATGTTCTGGCTGTACAGATCCAGTCGAACTCATTATCTACGCCGATCCCTTATCAATATGACATGAGTTGTAGACCCCCGAAGCCATAGCCTGACATGGTAACGACTGTTAAGCCGTTTGAAACTTTGAACGATCCCGAACAGCAATTAGGTCAGGTTTGATGAAGGACGTCAAAGTAGGTGCTCTCAAATCCTCGAAGACGGTGTATCCCGGTCGAAGGAAACATTTTTCATGTTTCCTTGCAACCCGATTATGACGAGTACATCTGACGTCATGCGTGATCCAGCAGGACTGAAAAATATGCACCAAACTCTCCGACTGACCAGGGTTTCCACAACATAAGATCGTCTGGTCACCATGGCCATACCGAGCGCTTCTGACTCTCGTCCTGAGCGACCAACTCTTGTTAAACGCGACCGTCAACACTGTTGTGCAGACTATCACCCCAAGCAGCCACCACCTCCTTGGTGTTTACGCATGCACCTTGGACTGGAATCGAATGACCCGAACAACCTTACCAAATGCGGAATCGGTGACCACATTGTGTAGTACTCGACACTGAGTAGAAAGGAGCCTTTTAAATACGCGCTCTCCGCTGCATCGGGATTGTTGCACTCAGACTTGGGATACCAAACGCCCCATGTTGTTTACCGGCTGCTTAGGATGTTCTTCGGTAGATGTAACCAGCCACAAATATACTGCTTGATGTAGTTATCCAATCTTTTGAGCGTGTTTCAGTGAACTTGGCCGAGCACGAGCGAATATGTCAGCCTTGGTATCAGGTAGTTCCTCGTGATTCCCATTCTTTGATGCGGCTTCAACGGGGCACGCATAACCTCATCGAGCAGTTTGAGCAGGTGCTACCGGCAGTTTGAGACCCCTTCCCCCTTGAAAGTAAAGGGGATTGCCAAATATGTTACGGTGTCTGTGGAACCCAGAGGAGTGATGAGTTCCTCGGCGAAGCAACATCGTTCCACTGTTTCTCGTCCCCACAAATCATTATCGCTTTCGTCCTTCTGGCGTTTACCTTCATACCGGCTCTTCCCAACTCGACCGCAGCAGCTTCAAACTTCTCTTTAAGGCGAGTCTGACTTCCTGCACACACGACCCAGTCGTCAGCGAAGACAAAACTACCTACTAGGGTGTCATGGAACTGGTATCCCAGTTGCGGCATCGACAATCCAAGAACCTCATCCATCGCTATGATGAATAATAATGGGGAGGATGGATCTACTTGTCTTACACGTCTGTGGTAGTGAACCTCGGAACTGGGGAAAACTGCTACAGCATTCTCATAGAACTGTGCGATGTATCGAACTAGAGGTGACGATGCTCCAAACGCCTTGGCAGATCTGACAATTATGTCATGAGAAACGTAATCGAACGCTGCCCAGATATCAACAAACGCCGAGCGGAGTTTAAAAGCATTCGCTGAAGTCTATTATTACTCATTCGGAAACACCTATCTCTCCAACTCATCAGGCTAAATCATGCCACAGCGGACTGTGTTGACGTACTGATTATCTGACTGTTCTATTCGACATTGGTTCATTGACCTGGTCCATTTTTTTAGAATCCTGTGCGAGTGTTCGATATTGGCATGATTTCTGCATGCCACAGCCTATCGGTGAGTTTCCCAATCTTATTTTGGTTTGAGTAAACTCCATCTTTCATGAAGCTTTGTTGTGGTCAATTCATCATCTAACTCGGTGAAGACACTGTCTCCTTCATACTCAACGTTGATCAAGGTTGAAGTCCCGGTCTGATTGGTTTGGCTTACTGTAGACAGATTTGTCAAGGCTTCACGTCACATGACATTCAAGCAATGTACTTTGCTAATCGGTTAGTACTCTACCTTGAAGGGAGTAGAATAAGACGAAGCGCGGAAAATGAGTTTATTATGGGCACGTGGCTCAGTCTAGCGCCCTCAAACGATCAACATTTCTGTGCAAGTATTTAGATCCACGATGCATCAAAAATAACTTGGCTGAGGCAGAATTAATTGGAATAAAGATGGAGATATGTGCTTGGGCACCCTTTCCATGATCTTAACTTCCAGATGGAATTGTGAACGGAAGCATTTGATGAGCGCTTTCTGGTCTTGAGAAGAATCAAACTGTCTGGTGATCTCTGAGAACTACGAAGCTGTGCAGATTAGAATGTCTCAGTTAACCAGGAATCAGTGTACCGATATGAGCAGCTGATCAGTACGCCACGAAGTTGCAACTAAACGTCTTGAGTAACGCACAAGTTGTTTAATTCGGAAAACCCATAGAAAACGAAGGGTTTGTCATGGCAATTGTAGTTCCCATGCTCGAAAAATTGACAAAAGCGGAAGTATTTCGAAATGCTAGCCTCTAAGCCCCTTCTAAATAGTTCAGGTAGGAATTCTAGGATGGTAAATTACTGATTTCCCATAGCAATTTGAAACTAGGTCGGATTTCATGTACTCATCAGAAAAGCATTTGTCGGAGAGAAACTGGGTGTCTTTGAGTGGTAGTTGGAAGAAACCAGGCTCAGGTGCAATTACGTCACATTTGACAGAAACCGGTCATGTCATTGACAGAGAGCAAGCGTTCACTACCACATACCGGGTGCCTCTGAACCGATCAGGACTGGTACGATCCAGAGGGGTTTGGAGTCCAACCGCTGGGCCCACAAATTTGAGTTCTGAAGAAAATTGTGCGCCCTCTGAATTCGAACTGGCCTGGGAAGAATCTGGTTCCACAAGCCTGTCTGACACTGGCGTCATTTACTTGATTCGGTGACCCATTGACCTAGCTCTCATTCAACCCGCTTCCTTTGATTTCTATTTTACTAAAGTGTATATGCCCCCGATTCCATCCTTTTCACGTGATTTCTGGTGACATATAAATCTGTAACGTATTAGTCAAGAGGAACAATCACATATAAGGAACAACTCGCGTTCTTTCAAGGATTTGGTTAAGCGCGTTCAACCGCCCGTGAAAATGAGACTAAATGTAATCGATAGCAAAACTGTCGACGAAAGCGGTCAATTAAGTTGAAGACTGGTCGATACGGACTGGTCTACAGGACTGCGAGTGAGTAGGTGAGAATTCTGGTCACGAGTGATTGATGGATATTCTGATTTGATGATTGTTCACGTTAATCCTAATTTGGTAGGGCACATCAGTTCTTTACTGGCTGTCTCAGTGCCACCGCCCGGCATGGCAATGATGCGACGCCTTGACTACAGACTACCTGAGAGTATCGTAGCTTCGTCGTATGGAACACGTCCATATTGTGTTTGGTAACTGACAGCCCAAAACTGTTACCACTTGATAGAGGGCTATTTTGAAAGGTACTGTACCGCTGGCCTCATTTTATATCTACTCGCCAAGTACACTGCTAACTTTATGCATCCACTGAGTTTGGAGTAGTTTGTACAAGTGAGAGTTCGGGGTGGTAGCAGTTACTGTCAAAACGGTACGAGATCACCCACACAGCGAGCTTCTATCCACGACAAGATAGAACATTTTGTATCAACGTACAAAATCTTCATAAGCTTAATATTATGTTTATTGATAGCAAAAGGTCACGCAATTCATTGAGAAGTGACTGGAACAGAGCTGAGGTGAACAACAGCATGTTCGGAAGGCAAACACTTGTCGTGAGTTAGAGAACCTTCTGATGAATGCAGACAACAAACCTCCTTCAGGTTCCATAGTCTCTTGTCACCATCGGTTGATGATTCCTCAAGCTATAAGGATGGGAACAGGGAAGTTTTGTCAGTAATTTAACATTGGCGATGGGTACGTATAACTTTTACCGACAGTGCCGGTGATCATTACGTAATGGGAGTTACCAAAATATCAACCAGAATAAAAAACTAGAAACACACAGGTACCGTGATTGACAATAAAACCAACTATCTGGGTTCAAGGTGAGTCTCTCGAAAAACCAAATTAGTTTGCAAATGAGTGAGTGTCTATTGGCTAATTTGGTGCAATTTGGTTTCAAGTAGAACATAAGAGTGACGGAAACCCGGGGACTGCGCCTACCTGATGAGCCTCAAAAAGGACGAAACCGGTCGTGGGCTGTCGACGGATTTTCAGAAACCTTATGGGTAGTACATCACCAACTATCTCAATTTCGATGGTTGAAGTTCGTAAGTCCGCTGGTCCATAGGGTTATTTCAGCGACGTGCCATGCAAGTTTCGTATACCGTTATTTGACCAGAAAAGAGAACTACGTACATACATAGCCCCCCGCAAACAATGTGCCCGTGTTTACGTTTATTCTGATGTATCTATTCCAACAAAAGGAAACATTGATTATTCAGTAGTCTAATAAAACCTCACGGAAACTACTTGGGTTTGGTAGCTATGGTAAACTTTTTGTAGCCTCTTGGAACTTTGAGGTTTACGAAGTATGGTCGCTCCAACAGCAAATAGCTTAAAAAAATTCCTCAATTCCTCATTTTAATGAGACTTTATTCAATGATCTGTTCTAACAGACTTTCCTCTCCAAGTAATGTGTTGTTGTTTGCGTAAACTGATGGTTTGCAGATAATTCACCTTCATAATGTGTCATTTCACGTGTTAAGCGGGATTCTTCGCCCAGAAGGCCGATCCACAAACAGCTGGGTAAGCAAGCCCAATTCGCGAGTGACTGCACTCATCAGTCCATGATATGAATTCAGTATCCAATCCGATTCCAGCTTTCGCTTTGCGCCAGCTTCCGATGTCGACTAGATGAATCTTTTGAGTTTGAAGAATGTTGATGCATACCTTTTCAAAGAAGATATGGTCTTGGACAAATTTTTGGGAATGAATGCTCGGGATGTCTTCAGTGACTATCGTTTTGTGAAACCGGACTGATGACCGGGTTGTGTCAAGCCGTTATCTCACCTGCAGTAAATGCGATCAAATCGAGACGGCTATTTCAACTTTCCATTATGTTACCCAAACGTCCCAGGTGTTATGGCATAGCAGCATCTAAGATCCATACTTCTTTTCAGGTAGGTCAACAGACCGCCTTTGCTCATTTCCCTTCCTGCTCAGAACTCGATGTGTTCAGTGTCTCCAAATAACGCAAACACACCACTTTGATACGGTGGTGCATCAAAACAACTAAGTTTACTCAAGGTTTACTCTCCGAAAGTCAGGTGATCTAGAAGCGTCCCCACACGGCTTCACTGGTGTCTGTACTGCGTCCAATGCGGCAGCTGAAGAACAGCCGACCATATGCAATCAGACTGGCCGGGTCTGTCAGAATTCTCAACCATGAAATCCGGCATACTGCAGCGGTGATACTGTGGAGAATTTCTGAGAGTTTTGCGGATAACCAAGTGCACGGGTATCATTATGTCAACTAACGATCCCATTGCTCGCTTAGGAAGAGTAGTCAATCATGAGAGTCGTCTGGGGGTGGGGGCAAGCTCATGTAGGTGATCCCAGAAGAGTCAAGGGATATCGTTTCCTATAACCGTGTGCTGAATCTCATCTATTTGTCGCAGACAGACATGAGCAACTCAATGACTAGAACTCTGCAAACCGTAGACATCCGTGCAACGATTAACGGTAGATCGCGGTCTTGTATCCAATATTCCCCCTTCTTCTGGGGTACATGGCCTGATTTGTGCAAGATTGGACAGATGGAGAACCAGAGCTGGTCATGACATCAAAACCCCTGCATAGAGAGAGAGAGACTCAACAGATTCAACTAACTAGGGAATCACATCGTGTCGGATGGCGCCATTGCTAGAATCTCTAAACTCCGTCCTTCTGTCTTTCAGCCTAGGCCCTTTTCGGGTTGGCTTATCGTTCTTCGGTCGGTCTACACGGTGACCCTGCCTCTAGTCCAGCTTTCTGGCTGTGAAGACTGATCGATGTTGATTGAAGGCAATAAAAGATTGCTTGGCTTTGACGAAGCACTGCAAATGTGCCATGGGAACTTCGGGTTAGCAGTGCTGAATTGCAACGAAAGGTTTTTCGGCCCTAAACCGGGTGCCTGTCCCATCGAAGGGTTGGTTCAGCTGCACCAACCACGCCAGATGACCGGCCATCTCATTGTGCTCTGGTTAGGGCAGTTTTCGACTGGTCAACAAATAGACGGAGTTTGGAGAACATGAAAAAAAGTCCCGGCTGCGCTGGTGTATTTCGTCCGGAGTCACACTCTTATGGCAATATCACGTGACTGGTGACCTGATACTCCCCTCGTCTATCATTAGACCACCATTCCTTTGCTTCCGATTTTTTGTATCCCATCTATTTTGCACTATTAACCGCCATGAAACGTGGTGACACAAGCCCGTGATTCGTATTTAACGAACCAACCGAAATCAAACTGAAATTCTTACTTTTACCCGCTTCACGAAATTTGTTCTGGTGTGATCAAACACTGAGACACTCGTTGCTGGTTAAGTCCTAACCCATTATTCGAGACGATATGGTACTCTGTCTACAACGATATCCCGTATGTCATTAATACTGGATGTCCAATAACTAGGTCCTGTAGTCGCAAGATTGTGAGGAAGACAAAGCAGGCAAACGCGCATGAAAATCTGCGGTGAGTGAGTTTTTTTTCATTTTTTATAGATAATCGATAGCAGACGCTCGAAGCCGTATCTGTGTGGACTTCTTTCAATTCCTATACGGTTCCTTGTTCGCCAAAAAAAGTTCCCTCGGCCAGATGGTTTTCTATCAGTATAAGTGTGTTTTTCACTCGACCGTTTCTAACAGCGAGTTTTACGTGATATTTCATTGGTCAGTGAAGGATTTCCAGATTAGGGGCTCACGACCGATCACATGAGTGGGCATGCAGAGAAACTGAACAAAGTTTATCAGTCGGACATGCAGAAATCGATCGGAAAGTTGAAGATCTTGAAAGATATGGTCAGGCATCCGAAACATAACCAGTTAGTTTGTATTGAGTCGGTCTAGTTTATGAACAAGCAGGGACTTGAGCAGCTAAGTAGTCAAGGTGACAGTTTTGATGCAGGAGCGCCATGTCTGGCAGTGCTCTTGGACATTGATGAGTTGAGTCCCAGAGTTCTCCTCTAAGAAGGCTACAACTATCAGGCCGACTGAGCTTATTAGTTATTTCTTCCAGGCTTCCAACCTCTCGATTTTTTCACTCATGGCTGCAAGGTAGACGGTCTTCTGGCACGCGAAACACAAGTCCTAACCAGCATTCCTGATAGAGGGTGAATAGATTGTCGATCGTGGGTAAGACCAAGGAAAAGAAATAAATACGCAAGTTAGGCAATCGTAATAGTTATTCGCTAGAAAACAACGAATTCTACCTAATTGCCAATCTGCCAACGAGGAGTATGAAGGAGATCACGAGGCGCTTCGGTGCTGTCGGTGCTACTCGCCTTCCAGGATGGGGACCGCGTGATCCTCACTGTGCCTGGTTGGAGACATTACAAGATATGGCTGTCAACCGATGTCAGTGGCGTTCTTGTAGTCAGTTTCTATCCAGATTGCCTGAGTGAATGTCTGGAGGTATAGACACATCGGAATGATTATGTTAAGCTAGTACTAAGTCCCTTCCCCGTATACTTTTACTCTCTTCTTTACAATAAGGCCTTCAAATAAATCATGGTCTTACGGCAGTGAAGCATCGGTTTTGAACACTGATGTCATGCTGTCGATGATGATGATGACTGTCTAACTATAATTGAAGTAACTCAAGTGATTTAGTAACATTTCGTAACTATTTGAAAACTGCGACCATCGCTAAGCGTAATACAGCTGGTTCCGAATAAAAAGGCTTCTGAAAATGCCC